AAAGAAATGATGAAGGAAAGAAAGAAAATGGTGGAAAAATTAAGAATGAAAGAAAACTGGAAAAGAATTCAAACAAGAAAAAGATAATATATAGTTGCAAATAAAAGAAATATTTAAGAGTGTTGACAAAAAGAAAGAAAATGGGAGAAACTGGAAAAGGAGAAATAAACAAAGAATCAAATAAAGAAAGGAAGAGGAGAAAGAAAGAAAGAAAAATGTGAGAAAGAAAGGAAATAGGAAAAGAAAGAAAGAAAATTAGAAAGAAAGAAAGAAAAAAAGAAAAATGTGAGAAAGAAAGGAAATAGAAAAAGAAAAAAAAAGAAAGAAAAATTTGAGAAAGAAAGGAAAATAAAAAAAGAAAAAAAGAAGAAGAGAAAAAAAATGAAAGAAAAAAAATAGAAAAAGAAAGAAAGAAAAATTTGAGAAAGAAAGGAAATAAGAAAAGAAAGAAAGAAAATTAGAAAGAAAGAAAGAAAAAAAGAAAAATGTGAGAAAGAAAGGAAATAGAAAAAGAAAGAAAGAGAGAAAGAAAAATGTGAGAAAGAAAGAAAATAGAAAAAGAAAGAAAGAAAAATGTGAGAAAGAAAGGAAATAGGAAAAGAAAGAAAGAAAATTAGAAAGAAAGAAAGAAAAAAAGAAAAATGTGAGAAAGAAAGGAAATAGAAAAAAAAAAAAATGAAAAGAAAAAAATTGACAAAAAAAAAAATAGAAAGAAAGAAAAATGTGAGAAAGAAAGGAAATAGGAAAAGAAAGAAAATTAGAAAGAAAGAAAGAAAAAAAGAAAAATGTGAGAAAGAAAGGAAATAGGAAAAGAAAGAAAGAAAATTAGAAAGAAAGAAAAAAAGAAACACGTGAGAAAGAAAGGAAATAGAAAAAGAAAGAAAGAGAGAAAGAAAAATGTGACAAAGAAAAAAATCAGAAAAGAAAGAAAGAAAAAAAGAAAGAAAGAAAGGAAGAGGGAAAAGAAAGAAAGAAAGAAAGAAAGAAAGAAAAAAAAAAAAAATTGAAAAAAAAAAAAAGAAAAAGAAAAAAAAGAGAGAAAGAAAAAATGAGAAAGAAAGAAAATAGAAAAAGAAAGAAAGAAAAATGTGAGAAAGAAAGTTGTGTAGAGGAAAAAAAGAAAAAAAAAAATTAGAAAAAAAGAAAGAAAAAAAAAAAAAAAAAGAAAGAAAGAAAAGAGGAAAAGAAAGAAAGAAAAATTAGAAAGAAAAAAAAAAGAAAAATGAAAAAAAAGAACGGAAATAGGAAAAAAAAAAAAGAAAGAGAAAAAGAAAAATGACAAAGAAAGAAAAAGAAAAAAAAGAAAGAAAAAAAAAATGAGAAAGAAAGGAAATTGGAAATAAAAAAAAGAAAGAAAATTAGAAAGAAAAGAAAGAAAAAAAGAAAAAAAAAGAAAGAAAGGAAATAGAAAAGAAAGAAAGAGAGAAAGAAAAAATGAGAAAGAAAGGAAAGAAGGAAAGAAAGAAAGAAAAATTAGAAAGAAACAAAAGAAAAAAGAAAAAAAAAAGAAAGAACGGAAATAGGAAAAAGAAAGAAAAAAAAGAAAGAAAAATGAGAGAAAAAAAAGGAAATAGGATAAGAAAAAAAATTAGAAAGAAAGAAAAAAAAGTAAGGAAAATGAAGAAAGAAAGGAAGAAAAGAAAAGAATGAAAAGAAAGGAAAAAAAGAAAGAAAAAATAGGAAAAAAAAAAGAAAGAATGAAAAGAAAAAAGAGAAAGAAAGGAAATAGAAAAAAAAAAAAAGAAAGAAAGAAAGAAAGAAAGAAAATGAAGAAAGAAAGAAAAAAGGAAAAAGAAAGAAAGAAAGAAAGAAAGAAAGAAAAAAAAATGTTAGAAAGAAAGGAAAAAGGAAAAGAAAGAAAAAAAAAAAGAAAAGAAAGAAAGGAAGAGAAAAAAGAAAAAAGGAAAGAAAGAAAAATGTGAGAAAGAAAGGAAATAGGAAAAGAAAAAAGAAAGAAAAATGTGAGAAAGAAAAGAAATAGGAAATGAAAAAAAATTAGAAAGAAAGAAAGAAAGGAAAATGGGAGAAAGAAAGGAAATAGGAAAAGAAAGAAAGAAAGAAAGAAAGAAAGAAAAATGTGAGAAAGAAAGGAAATAGAAGAAAAAGAAAGAAAGAAAGAAAAATGTGAGAAAGAAAAGAAAATAGGAAAAGAAAGAAAGAAAGAAAGAAAAATATGAAAAAAAAATAGGAAAAGACAAGAAAGAAAGAAAAATATGAGAAAGAAAGGAAATAGGAAAAGAAAGAAAGAAAGAAAGAAAGAAAGAAAGAAAGAAAGAAAGAAAAATGTGAGAAAGAAAGGAAATAAGAAAAATAAAGAAAGAAAGGAAAATGTGAGAAAGAAAGGAAATAGGAAAAGAAAGAAAGAAAGAAAGAAAGAATGAAAGAAAGAAAGAAAGTAAATGTGAAAATAAAGTAAGTCGGGAAGGGAGACAGAAGTATAGAAATAAAATGTCGGAAGAAAGAAAAAATGGGGAAAAATATAGAAAATGCGGAAAAAGCAAAAGAAAATAGAAGAAGAATGGAAGTAAATCAGGGAAATAAAGGCGGAAAGAAAAAGAAAGAAAGAAACGAATAAAGGAAAAAAGAAAGTAGAAAAGAAAAGGAAGTAGGAAATAAAACGAGGAAAGTAAAACAAAATGCAGAAAGAACGATGGGAAATCAAAAGATAAGAAGAAAGGAACATAAAAAGAAAGAAGAAAAGAAAGAAGAAAAAAGATAAAAAGAAAAGAAAGTTGGAAATAAAACGAGGAAAGTAAAACAAAATGGAGAAAGAACGATGGGAAATCAAAAGATAAGAAAAAAAGAAGATAAAAAGAAAGAAGGAAAAGAGAAGAAAAAGGAAGATGAAAAGAAACGGAAGTATGAAATAAAATCAGGAAAGTAAAACAAAATACAGAAAGAACGTTGGGAAATTAACAAAGAAAGAATGAAAATTTGCAAAGATGAAAGAAGAACGAAATATAGAAAGATTTAAAAAAAAAAAATAAAAAAATAGGGTAAGAAAAAAAATGATCATGATTTCAAAAATGAACATGAATGCTAATAAGTATTGTTAGTGTTACAATAAGAGGGTATAGCTTCACCCCCAAATTATAAGGTCTTGAGGGAGAATATGCAATAGCGTTCGAGAGGCGAGTTTTGGAGAAGCACCAGGTGAAGTCGACATATCTACAAGTTCTTTCACAGCAACCATTATAAGCATAACAAACACATACACACACATATATTAATGTATATATGGGCAGCAACCTTTCTTTTAAACATATTTCGTTAAACATCACAGACTAGGAAAATTGAGTTAATTGTTTATTTAATTTTTTTCAGCGTTCTTACGTTTTCTTCGTTTGATGGAACTCAGGGAGTGCAAAAAATGTCCATATTGTCCATTGGCACAACCGCTTTCGGATATTTCGTTATCCATTTTCAAGGAGATTTTTTCACACTGAGGCACCTTGAATTACCCGACTGATGGCTAACAAATCACCAGACGTATGGATTGTCAACTGAACTCGTTTCCAACTTAAAAGGGTATAAAAAAGAATCAAGATCGACGTCTGTAGCTAGTTATGTTTTGGACGTGTTTATTCGTCAGCGTTGTATTAGCCGTACGTACTAGGGGAAGTCTTCGGGCGACGGTGCTTGATTCACTCATAAGGTTGTATCTTTTCTCTCTCTCATCTTCTCCCGTCCAGGTTGCAAAATGTTTTTAGGGTCCGGAGATGAAAGACATCAACAAAAGGAATGTTAAATTTAACTATTTTATTAACCACGTCGATTTGTACATTTCATCCAGTGGAGTTGTTTGCCCTTTTCCACTGGGAAACCGCTTCCCAGACTGGAAGGAAAACACGTCTGCATTTTATGACAGTTTAGATTCGACACCCCGAAAAACCTTTTTCTTTCTATGATTCCCACGCTAATTCAGTCAATCAAAATCGACTTCCTTTTGTTTTGTTCTGTATATTGATCTCAAATGTCAAACTGACGAAGTCATAGCAGAAATACAATTCTCTAAAAAAATTGCTAAACTATTATTTATCAAATTCCCTTTCGTATATATCCGTCTATGCCGGGAGAATGGGTTAGTGAAACTTATTACCCAGAATATTTATTGCGACTCAAGCTCACCCCAGACCTCGTATAAACAATCATCGCTAAAGAAGCTGGAAAATAGCAGTTTTTGTATCATCCCAGAAAATATCTAGCACCTTCATATATATTCTATGTTTACAAGAGCCAGATTAGACCTAAAATGAGGTGTTACTGCTACATCTGGCTCTAGCTGTCCATTCTTTTACTGTCCAGCCTTGATAGTATTCACAAACGGTTTTTTTCTATGGCTTTGTGGGGGATCACTTTTTCTTCCAGCCTGCAACCACTTTCCCACAAACGGAAACGTTGTCGCTCTATCTCTATTTTCATGGCATATGTCAGGTGAACCTATATGCCTTGGTTTTACCAGTCCAGGCCTTCACAGCTAGGACCCACCAGGTCACAGACACAGAGATGATCCATCCTTATTGCCTGCGTATTCCATGAGTAAGGAAGAAGTTCCACTCAAACAGCTCATTTCCTAGCGCATTGTGAAACGGTCTCATGAGAGGATGCTTTTCAGATAGCAACAATCTGAATTTATACAACCATTTTCTCTCCCAGATATCCTCATTCAGTAATCCAGCCATCATTCTCGGGAGTGTTGAAAATTTCTCAGCCCTAACTGGAAGGGACACCCCGCCAAGTTCTTATGTTCTAATGTATTTGTCTAATTTAAAGAACCTTTCGCCATCTTTCGTTCATTAATGTTTATCATCTTGTTTGTCGTCATGTCTTTATGAATTGTTAGGAATTCCCAAACTTGACCCCACTAAGCGCCAACCTTCCTGTCACGTCGGCTCTATGGAATAGATCGTTTTGTCTGTGGGAGGTCCTTGTCTGTAAACTGTTTTTCGCTTATCGTTGATCTTTGGCAGTGATTCGACCCTGTTTTGCATCGGGGCCTAATGTTCTCATTACAAGACAGTTTATCTCGACTAATATCTCCTTCCTTCATTTTGTTGTTCATGCTACAGTTTTCTTCTTCTTTTACTTTTTTCTTCTTTTTTTCTTCTTTCTCTTCTTCTTTAATTCCTTCTTTTTGTTTTCGTTCTCATAATTCTTTTTTCTTTTCCTTCTTCATTTACTTTTTTCTTCCTTTTTCTTCTTTTTCTTCTCCTTTAATTCTTTCTTTTTTCGTTCTTATAATTCTTTTTTCTTTTCCTTCTTCTTCTTCTTTTTCTTTTTTAGACCTGCTTTTTCTTTTCCTTCTTCTTCTTCTTTTTCTTTTTTAGACCTGCTTTTTCTTTTCCTTCTTCTTCTTCTTCTTCTTTTTCTTTTTTAGACCTGCATTTTCTTTTCCTTCTTCTTCTTCTTCTTCTTTTTCTTTTTTAGACCTGCTTTTTCTTTTCTTCTTCTTCTTCTTCTTTTTTTTTTTTTTTTAGACCTGCTTTTTCTTTTCCTTCTTCTTCTTCTTTTTCTTTTTTAGACCTGCTTTTTCTTTTCTTTCTTCTTCTTCTTCTTTTTCTTTTTTAGACCTGCTTTTTCTTTTCCTTCTTCTTCTTCTTTTTCTTTTTTAGACCTGCTTTTTCTTTTCTTTCTTCTTCTTCTTCTTTTTCTTTTTTAGACCTGCTTTTTCTTTTCCTTCTTCTTCTTCTTTTTCTTTTTTAGACCTGCTTTTTCTTTTCTTTCTTCTTCTTCTTCTTTTTCTTTTTTAGACCTGCTTTTTCTTTTCCTTCTTTTTCTTTTTTAGACCTGCTTTTTCTTTTCCTTCTTCTTCTTCTTCTTTTTCTTTTTTAGACCTGCTTTTTCTTTTCCTTCTTCTTTTTCTTTTTTAGACCTGCTTTTTCTTTTCCTTCTTTTTTCTTTTTTCCTTTGTCATCATTTTATTTATTGCTTTTCTCTTCTTTTTTCTTCTTTTGTCTCCGACTTCTTTAACGTCTTCTTTTCTTTCTTTTTTTTTCTTCTCTTCCTTCTTCTTCTTCTTCTTCTTCTTCTTCTTCCCTGCATTTTCTCACTTTTTCTTCCTTTATTTTCTCCTCTTGATTTTTTTGTAATTGCTCTCCACTCTTCTTCTTCTTCTCCTTTTTTAACTTATTTTTGTTTCTTAGTATTTTCCTTGATGTCTTTCTTTCTTTCTTTCTTTCTTTTCCCCATCTTTTATTTCTCCTTAACACGTTTTCTTTTCCAGTCTCCTTCCTCCTGTTCACTTAAAAAAGCCAACTTAATGCCATGTGGCACTCTAGCAATGACTATGAGCTTATGCTTAACCCAAACATCAAGTGGAACTCGCACCTAAGGTCCCACACTATAGCTGCTAGCAAAATGGTCGATTTCCAGTCTAAAATGCGTCTCTGCTTCCTTGTGGGTGATGAAATAATTTCTAACCAACAGTCCTCTGGCTAATCACTATTAGCCTAAGTGAAGAATTAAAAACCTTGTAGGAGTGAGTAGGGGAAAACCTCACGCTCTTTGCCAAGAATTTTTTCCTTAAAAAAGAAAATGAACGTGTATAGAGCTACGACCCCCTTCAGCCTGAAGAAACATGGCATTTAAAACCGTGGAAACAATAAAGAAATCAACTTCATTAGAGTTCCCAAGAAATCACATATAACAAAGAAAAAACCGTATTTATGGAGAGCCATGTACGTCCGGAATAACATGGCATTCAAAACCCTTGTGAATACAATGGAAAACCTATATTTCCAGGAATTCACAAATAATAAAAAAGGAAACAGTGGAGAGCCATGACAGCTCAGAACCAGAAGAAATAATGTAATTAAAAGGGTGGAGAATGTAACGAGAAATCTTTCCCAGGACATTAACGAAGTTCAAATATAATAAAGAAAAGGTATCTGTGGAGAGTCATGATCACTTACAAGACGAAAACATTGGCGAAGATAACGAAAGATTCTTCCCGGGATGTTACCGAAGCTCAAAGATAATAAGGAAAATGAATGCCTGGAGTATTAGGATCGGCTACAAACCGAAGGAATATGACATTTAAAAAATTGGTGAAAGTAACACAAATATTTTCCAGGATATTAACGCAGTTAATAAAGATAGGGAATTTGTAGTGGGCATGATCGCTTACAAGTCGAAGGAACATGGCGTTTAAAACGGTGGTGAAGGTAACGAGAGCTCTGTCCCAGGACCTTACCGCTGTTCTATGATTAATATAGATAGGGAATCTCACACATGATGCCTCACAAGACGAAGAAAGATGGAGTTTAAAACCTTGGCAAGTTTAACAAGAAATATTGCCCCAATTATTGACGCTGTTCAAAGAAAATAAAGAAAAGTAATTTATGGAGAACCACGATCGCTTACAAGCCGAAGGAACATGACGTTTAAAACATGGCAAGTTTAACAAGAAATAATGCGGAGATCATTGCCGCAGTTCAAAGAAAATAAAGTACGGGAATCTGTGGAGTGTCGTGATCGCTACAAGCCGAAGGAAGACGGCGTTGGCAAGTTTAACGAGAAATATTGCCCGGATCATTGCTGCAGTTCAAAGAAAATACAGAAGAGGAAGCTGGGGAGAGCCATGTTCGCTTCGAAGCCGAAGCGACATGGCGTTTAAAACTGTAGCGAAGATAAAGAACAATCTGACTAAGGGGCCTTAGCGCTTTTCAATGGTTTATAAAGATAGAGAATTTGGGAAGAAGCATGACCGGTTACAAGCAGAAGGAACATGGATTTAAATCAATGGCGAAGGTAACTAGAAATCTTTCCCAAGACCTTACCGCTTTTCAAAGATTAATATAAATAAATCTGTGGACAGTCATGATCGGTTACAAGTCGAAGGAACAAGGCGTTTAAAATCGTGGCGAAATAATGAGAAATATTTCTCAAGACATTGCCGCAGTTCAAAGATAATAAAGGAAATTAATAGGCGGAGAATTGCGATCGCTAGCAAACACAGCCATTAAAATTATGAAAAAATTTAATGGGAAAGCTATCCACTATCTCTCCCAAGAATTCAATGCCAATCTCTGATAAGGTAGAAAAAGAATGGGCGGAGAAGTACGATTGCTAGCAAACACAGCTATTAAAATTGTGGAAAAATATAATGGAAAGATATTCACTATCTCTTCCAAGAATTCAATGCCAATCTCTGATACGGAAGGAAAAAAACGGGCGGAGAAGTACGATTGCTTGCAAACACAGCCATTAAAATTATGGAAAAATTAAATGGGAAAGCTATCCACTATCTCTGCCAAGAATTCAATGCCAATCTCTGATAAGGAAGAAAATGAATGGGTTGAGAAGCACGATTGCTAGCAAACACAGCCATTAAAATTGTGGAAAAATTTAATGGGAGAGTTATCCACTATCTCTCTCAAGAATTCAATGCAATTCACTGATAAGGACGAACAGAAAATTGTGGCAAGACATAGTCGCCTGTGTTCTGAATTAACATGAAAGCAATGAGAATCCGCTCCACGATCTTTCTCTAGAAATCATGACAATTCATCGATAATGAATATATCGTATCTGTGGATAGGCATGATGAACTGTGTTCTAAAGGGCATGGCGTTTTTTTTTTTTTAAATCTTTATTATTCCTGTAAATATTGGTATTTTTTCTGATTTTTTAACTACATAGGATTATTTGTTTCGAGTTTTGTTATCTAACACACAAGTGCTCGTGAAGACAGGCAAATCTTTAGCACACGTCATAAAGAACAACTGGGACGGAGTGGCGACGTGTCAGCCGCTTGAAGAGAAAATAATAAGCCTGAAAATAAACAGAAGCATAAACAATGTGTTTCTAATGCTTTGCTTTGCTTACTTTCCGTATGATGCCAATGTCTGATATCTTTTATACATTTAGTTCCTTCTAGGCTTTTTTTTTGCCTATTCAAAAATCGGTATCTTGTTTTCTTGTATATGTGTTTGGCAACGTCATAGTTGTATAGAAAATGTTGAGGCCGCGAAAGCGTTTTACGAGTGATGGTTTTTTTCCGTTGCGAAACATTAACTTCATTTGTATTATATAACAAACGTAATGTCATATGCTAATACTTATATGATTATGTTACGTTATAAGGTTTCAGCATTGCTAGCCTATACATACATACATACATACATATATATATATATATATATATATATATATATATATATATATATATATATATATATATATGGTTGAGGAATCCTTTCAGTCAACATTTCTTCAGGACAACGTTAGCAAAATTAATGAGGAAAACCAATATATGAGAAATTCACACAGCAAAAAAAGGTTTAGGAGGTATAAGTATGGAACAAGATTAAAACATATTTATTGGAAAAATAAATTAAATTATTAAAAATATTTTTATATATATATATATATATATATATATATATATATATATATATATTAAGAATTGGACAAAAGTTTGACAATTTATTAAAGACATTTTATGTTTAACATTCTTTTTTTCTTTTTTTCTTTCTTAAATACTTAAATACTGGTATCTATAAAAAGAATGTTAAACATAAAAATGTCTTTAATGTATATATATATATATATATATATATATATATATATATATATGATGGATTCTCCCGTCGAGTTCGACGTATGAGGTTCCGACGACCACGAACTAATTATCTGCATGCCTATGACGGGCCATGACTTTTGAGACCGGCTCGAGAATTGCACTAAAGACCACAAACAGTACAGGAGAAGGTATTGTATCCAAGTGCAGCAGGAACACTGTTAGATGTCTTATTTTGCTTTCTCGTTTCATGCACCCGACTGATGCTTACTTCCCAGAGCAGCTATATCAATGTTGTACTTCTTCAGCTCCAATGCAACCAGAGCTGTTTTTCTTTCTGGTGCTGAATTGTTGTCCTGGAGAGTTCGTACATTCCAAGTGCCAAGATGAAGTTGATGTTATTTTGTAAAGTTTTTCGCAGTAGCCGGATATGTGTGAAACTAATGAGACGTAGTTATCAGAAAACCAATACAATGATTT